CCGAAGCTTTTTTAAGTATATAATGTTCTTGAACAAGGAACTATTTTTAAAATACATTCAATGATGTGCAACTTTGCTCAAAGCAATCGAGCTAACAGTTAAGAAGGAATGATTTAAATGTGCACCTCACTGAATCAGGAATTGTGCATGGATATTGGACATGTAATTGGCCACTCTGTGTATATTGTGGCCCCTTTATAGCCCCTGATATAGAAAATTCTTAATCCGCCACTGCTAAAAAAATTCGTAAAAATTAAGAAAATAAATTACAGGATTTGCACCAAATTGCAGTCATCTATAGAAATGAGTCCCTTCAATATGTCAAACATTTATCCCTCAAAAAATTCTAAATAATGACATTTTGAAGAAAGAAATAAAAAAATCCCTGGATTCACCCTGGGAATTAATAATGGGTTCTTTCATGGCCATGTTTAAAACTTCCAACTAAGTTTCGTTGAAATCTCTTTTGGCATGATCCTGCAGACAATAGAACAGTCAAAGACTGGGGCATGAACATAACATCCTTGGCCGAGATAATGATCCAATGGTCTCATATTTCTTAGTAACCTTATAAAGGTCAAACTTGATCCATTGTCAAAACATGATGTTGGAAGAAAACAAGGATAACATTTTATAAAACCATTGCATTTATTTTGCAGCACTTTCCTGTTAATTCTTCTCACAACAATTTAAATAAATGAGTTTTTACGATATATTTATTTATGTGTTTCGCTGTAGAATTGATTAAGTCTCCCAACATGTATCTTTAAATGATGCATGTGTCAGTCACTTCATCTTCAGTCTTTCTCTAATATAACGCACCAGTTTCCCTGATCGTGGTAGCTTCTCTGCACTTTGACTCCAGCCACCTGAGCACACAGCTGCTCAAGCTCCCCCTGTTGGAAGACGTGGTAATAGCGGTGGAAGACGGGTGCGGGGCCACTTTCCGACTCGGGCTTCAAGGGTGAACTGGACGTCTGTGTGGTGTCACCACTCAGACTGGGTTCAGAGTCAGGGCCGTGACTGGCATTGCTGGTGTCTGGACTAGATCCAGAGAGCACGTTGGGGTCAGAACCTGGGCTCGGTGCACTGTTAGAGTCTGATTTGGGTTTGGAACTTAAACTTGAGGGTGAACAAAAGTCACCTGGAGTCTTTCTGGACATTTCTTTCCTTTTGTTTTGCTTCCCATCCTTTCTAGATTCTTCCTCCCCTTGTCTCTTCCCCTCTTTCAGATGCCAGGGAACCAAAAGATCTTGGGTGTTGAAGGCTGTGCGGTTGGTGTGAACACTTAGTTTGCCATCAGTCACTTTGCCAACATCTTGCATGCTGTCAACAGGTCTGTCGCTGTCTTCTACATGAGGCTCCTGTCTGTCTTCTGATGTGTTGTTGACTGGGCTGAGGTTCCCTGGTTGCCCTTTGTTCTGATCTTTGAGGTACTTTGACCTCTGCTTGTTGTGCTCCTGTTCGAAAGCCCAAACGTAGATGAGCGCTCGACCTGCAGGCTTCAGAAGTCTCACCAGCTCCCTCACGGCTGCCAGCCGACGCTCCTACAACACAGACAAACCTTTTCAATCAGCCGGGAACCTAAAAACTCCAGAGACTCAAATGTGTGTTTGCATTTCCACTGCATTTTAAATGTCAAGGTAAATCTGACTTCTGAATTTTGATGGTTAATATTCCTTGTAGGTTGGAAGGCAGATGTAGGGGACATAACTTCAGTTGTGCACCTTAGCGCCGTCAAGTGTTTTGCTTTTGTAATTAAAGATACAGCCTGATCTTGAGGGTACGCTGAAGCTAAAGGTAAATCTGACTGGCTACTGGCTTGTATGGCGGTACTGAATAATGAAGGATTAAAAGTGACATCTTGGTTTAATTTGAGACATTTTTTTCCCCCAAACGATGAGACAACAAACTGTTCTGTGACTATAGTGTTGGAACAGTACAAAAGAGTTTTTATTTTTAAGTTTTCCTAAATTGGTCATATGCCAACTTTAATATTAAACATCTTTGTCAATGATTAATACCAATAATAACTAAAATGGCACTTAGTTGAGTACGTACATCCGCCAAGGCCCAACAGTTTATAAAACCACATTTACCAGATCTAGATTTTTATTTGAATCTGCTCCAAACTCCACACACTCACAAATATCAGTCGCCTAAACATATGATTTTTTTCATAAAGACCAATGAATTATTCTCACAGAAATCAACAAAGATTTTGGATTGTGGTACGCGCTCTCCGAGTTTCCTTCTAGTTGGAAAGTAGATCATTGAGGAAAGAGCTTTTTAGGGAGCAGGAATCAAAAGTTAAAATTGAAACCTGTGTCGTGTTTCTAAAATCAACCATGAGATGTTTTACAGTTTAATATTGCGTGTTTCTCACTGACAAAGTAACACACTGCTTTCTATAAAGATGTTATTTGTGTGTGCATGTGCTGTATGTACCTGTGTGGAAAAATGGTGGATGACGGCGATGGAGATGCAGGCATCACAGGAGGCCGTTCGCAGAGGGACACTGAGAGCGTCAGATACAAACGCCTGGAAACCTCTCTCTGCACAGATCTGGACCAGGGCACTGCTGCGGTCAGAGCCAACCTGAACAGACACAAAACATATAATAATACAGAGGGACTCAAATATGAGGAACACACGTGAAGAACAGTGTTGGATGGACTGGAAGAAAAACAGAAATGTAGCAAATGAAGCAAAGCAGGAAAAAAAAACGTAAAAGGAAGAGGAAATAAAAAGGACTGAGGGGATTGGTTGTTGTTTGAATAATTTTCTGCACAATTTGTCTAAAGGAGCAATTTAATGAGGCTTCATGAGTCATGTGATCTCTTCCCAAAAGAGACAGAGGTGATAATAAACAGTGAGAAACACTGCACACATGCTATTGACGTGCAAACACATTAAAAAAAGGTTGAAATCATTTTCATTTCAATTAACACTGGGAAGGTTAACAGTGTTAAACTGCAACGAGAGACAGAATGAGAGGAGAAGACAGAGAGGTGGAATAAAGAACAAAGTGAAAAGAAAAAAAATGTGATTGGGGAGAGAAAACCCAGAAGACTCAGCTCAGAAAGTGAACGTGTGACCTGATC